TTGGTAATCATTTAGTTCATCCTCAGATTCTAGATCTTGATGCCCAACTTCATCTTCTATGTCATCATCTATACTGTCTCCTCCACCAAGAAAATCAATTTCATCTTCTCCTTCTGTGTCTGTGTCATCATCTTCTGCATTAGATTCTAGTTCATCCTTATCATAATGAACATCAAACTCTTGCTGTTCTTCTTTTGAACGCTTCTCTTTTTTGGCTTTACGTATCCAGTCATATAGAGACATGCGCTCATAAGCAGTTGGGCGGTAGATATAATCATATACACTTGATATTCCAATGTATGTGCCATCATACTTCTGCAAAACTACTTTGTCTGGTGCATCTTTATATTCAGTGTCAAATGACTCTGTTGTATTATTTTCTGTATCTAACCATGCACTTCGTGCCTCTCTTACATAATTTTTCCAATAGAAAAGAATGAATTTGTGGCTGGTATAATGATCAGGATTTCCAAGCAGATAAAGAGAAGCCATGGGGCTTCCAATTTCCATCTTTGCAGTCAATGTGTTTACCATTTTTGTCATCAAGCACCGAGCTGTGTTTTGCCTATCTGTACTACCTCCGATCATCTCAGAATTTCTATTGAATACTTGTCGGACAGCATCAAATGTGGTATATGAACTTAATCCTGATTTTGTAACATAATCAGTGATATACCCTACAACAGCTTTGATTGCTGTACCTGACATCAAGCTAGTAACATCTGTATTGCATCTAATCATGTATGTAAGTTCTGGTGTAAAAGTATTTAACCACATTTCACCTTTCTTTATTTTTAAAGCACCACTAAGTGGATCCACCATTGTCTCTTCAACAATTTCTCGAGGAAAACGAGCTTTGCACTGACCACGTGAATTGAGGCACCCCTTACGTTTAAGTTTAGTAGGGTCCTCCCCATCTATTTCAGGTCTACGGCATCCATGATGATTAGATCGAGACAGAATATCATCTGTTGTTGCTCTATATTTACCATGCCATATTTTTTGGTTAATGCATCATGTGCACTGGTTGCATCCATTTTTTTTACAAGGTGGAGGTGGAGGTTCAGGCATTGTATGTGTTGGATCCTGATAATCTGGATTATTTTTCTGAGCTTCTTGGCATCTTTCACGAATCTCTTCATAAGTTCCTTCATATAGTTCACCTTTATGCACAGATTCCAAATATTCAATCATATGTTTTTGAAAGTCAGAGGCTGGATCTGTAATTCTATCTCTTACTTCTTGGGGTGATAAAGCCACTTCAGTCACCCACCTTGAACAAGCTATTAGCCTTGTAAAATGTAAGAATGTATCCAGGCTAATAGGTTGTGTGGCCATTTATTTTTCTTGCCTTGGGAGAAAATATAATATTGGATTGGGTAGAAAATGTTTGACCTTTAATATTGTGACGAGAAATTTTTGGGTAGATAAATTGTGTTCAAAAATATCCTAGTCAAGTGAAAGTGGTCAGAAATATTTGAAGGGGTTCAGACTGGTAAGAAATATTTGAAGTGTGTCAGACTGGTAAGAAATGTTTGAGCCAAGTCAAACTGGCCAGAAATATTTGAGGTGTGCCAGAGTGGCTAGAAATATTTCAGTGGTGTGACATCACTCGGATATGTTCTGAGCATGTCACACTGCTGAAAAATCTTTTAGCCTTGTCACATGGCTCAAACATATCCGACCAGTGTCACAGGGTATCTGGGGTCCCAGTTTCAAGAAAAAAAACTTGGTATTGTTGGTATAGCTTTCTCAATATTTTGCACATTGCTTTTCTTTTCTTTATCCAGATCACAACCCAATGTTTTGTCCATTTCAAACCATGTATGGTTCTATTCTATAACAGCTACTGAGGTTGAATTGAAGGGTGAAGAAAGGAGGGTTGGCAAAGGAAGTTGTCCACTCTTAATGTGAACTCATATAAGTTAGCATCACCCAGCAGCTTTCCCCCATT